AACCTGACACCCTCTTTTTCACATTGTTTTATCAACCTTTTCTCCAAGTTTGTTTTACTTTCAAGTTTTAATTTTATTCGCCACATGCACAGTCATACAAACTACGATATGCAATGAAATGCTTGTGTCTGAACTGCGTTTGGTGTTGCTCTTCTGTCTTCCCAGTTTGCCTTTTTCCCAGCTTAGTTTCTTAGTTTTAGTTTCTGTGTTCAGCAGTTGGGACATACCTATTCTTGTTTCATCATTATTATGTTCCTAACGAAACCTCCAGTTCTTGGGTTGTGTATGTGTGTGGTTTTGTTTATTAGTATTTTTGTATGTTTTGGTGTTTGAGAGTATTTTTTGCTACAACAATAAATCTGCCTCTTTGCGTTTATTTCCCTGTCTGTGATTCCTTTCTTCTGTCTGTCACTCAGTACCATCATGACAATACTAACTTGAGAGGACCGTATTCTGACTATGGTTGTTAAGGCGTCTGGCAAGGGATCTCAAAATTGGATTAGAAATGGCAGACAGTTGGTGTCGTAAACCACCTCTTCTGTTCAAAGATAATTATTCACAGTGGACGTAGGTGGCTTCTTTCACTCCTCTTTCAAACCATGTGTCTTCTCTGTCCAAAATGTGAACATTGGCATCCTCGAAAGAGTGACCTTTGTCCTTTAGATGCAGATGGACAGCCTAATCTTGTCCCATTGAGGTGGCTCTTCTATGTTGTGCCATGCATTTATGAAGTGGTTGTTTGGTCTATCCAATGTAGAGGTCTGGGAATTCCTCGCTACACTACTGCATACACTATTGTAAGTATCAACACTTCGCTGAGTTCTTTTGATTCCTCAGAGGCATCCGATGGAAGACAAAACACTGCTCAATAGGCCATTTAACGCTTTATTACTTCTATAAGGGATATGCGTCCTGCATGACACGTTGCCACGGATCTCAAAATGGTGGTGTGCCCCTAACACTTTTATTACAGAAGCTTTCTCATTCTACAAGGTGGGCCATTTATATGGATACACCGTAATAACATGGGAATGGTTGGTGATATTAAAGTCCTGTTTGTGGCACATTAGTATATGTGAGGGGGCAAACTCCTCAAGATGGGTGGTGACCATGGTGGCCATTTAGAAGTCGGCCATCTTGGATACAACTTTTGTTTTTTCAATAGGAAGAGGGCCATGTGACACATCAAACTTATTGGTAATGTCACAAGAAAAACAATGGTGTGCTTGGTTTCAACGTAACTTTATTCTTTCATGAGTTATTTACAAGTTTCTCTTTGTTCACAGCCATTGACATGTCGAAGAGGTTAACACGTGAGGAGCGGATCGAAATTGTGTTGATATCTGGTGAACGCAGTAACCGGGTCATTGCAGCAGATTTCAATGCAAGACACCCTACGAGACCACCCATCTCCCATGCTACAGTTAGCAAACTGCTTGCTAAGTTTCGTGAAACTGGTTCAGTGTTGGATTTGCCAAAATGTGGACGCAAGAAAACTGTCACTAATGAAGAAACATCAGTGGCTGTCCTAGCTTCATTCAGCAAGAGCCCACAGCGTAGCACTCGCCGCATGTCACTGGAGAGTGGCATTAGTCGAACATCCCTTCGGCGGATATTAGCTACTCACAAATGGCACCCTTACAAACTCCAGCTACTGCAGCATCTCAACGAGGATGACCCAGATCGGCGCACAGAATTTGCAGAATGGGCAAAACAAAAATTGGAACAGGACCCTCAGTTCACGCAGAAGATTTTGTTCAGTGATGAGGCAAACTTTTATGTGAATGGTGAAGTTAACAAACAAAACCACCGCTATTGGTCTGACACTAACCCACATTGGATGGATCCCTCCAAGACTGTTGGAACAACAAAAGTGATGGTTTGGTGTGGTATATGGGGTACAACGATAGTGGGTCCATTCTTCATCAATGGAAACCTCAAGGCCACTGGATATTTGAAATTGCTACATGATGATGTGTTTCCCTCTTTATGCACTGAAGCTGGCACGTTCCCTGAGTTTTTCCAGCAAGATGGTGCACCACCACATTATGGGTGCCAGGTCCGAGCATTCCTAGATGAACAGTTTCCTGGAAAGTGGATTGGTCATCGTGGGCCAGTTGAATGGCCCCCAAGGTCTCCCGATCTGACCCCCTTAGACTTTTATCTTTGGGGTCATCTGAAGGCAATTGTCTATGGTGTGAAGATACGAGATGTGCAGCACCTGAAACTACGGATACTGGATGCCTGTGCTGGCATTTCTCCTGCGGTGTTGCTATCAGTGTGTGAAGAGTGGGAGAAGAGGGTTGCATTTACCCCTCACATATACTAATGTGCCACAAACAGGACTTTAATATCACCAACCATTCCCATGTTATTACGGTGTATCCATATAAATGGCCCACCTTGTAGAATGAGAAAGCTTCTGTAATAAAAGTGTTAGGGGCACACCACCATTTTGAGATCCATGGCATACAAATACAATACAAATGGCCCACCCTGTGTCTCAGTAACTGTCCACTAGAGATGGTCCCCTCTTATCTACATTTTCCCAGGCAAGCGTGGGCGAAAGTCTACAGCTTTCTACTCCCCAAGGACACATAGTCTAATGCCTTTATTTTCAGGGCTGTGTCTACTTAATACTACACTGTATAACTTTTTAACACCATCCATCCATCCATTCGCGTCCGCTTATCCTGTTCAGGGTCGCGGGGGGCGCTGGAGCCTATCCCAAGCTGTCATAGGGCGAGAGGCGGGGTACACCCTGGACAGGTCGCCAGTCTGTCTGCAGGGCCAACACACAGAGACAGACAACCATTCGCACTCACATTCACTCGCACATTCACACCTATGGGCAATTTGGATTAACCAATTAACCTATCCCCACTTAGTGGGGAACTTTTTAACACTTATTAATAAAAAAGCATAGCTTTATTGAGGCAATGCAAATTTTTTAATACCAACACTACATTGTTAAGTTTGTGTTTAGGAGTTTTGTCTGATACACCAGCTACATAGGGGATGTCAATGTTGTTACCTTTGTCTTTCTTATCCTGCCTAGCTAATGTCTCATCTTCTTTTCTGTGCATCTTTACTGACTTGATGAACGCCCAATTAGGATAACCACATGTTTTAAGAGTTTCCTTGTGTGTGTGTTCCTTCTTTTTCCCTTCAAGCTTAGAGCAGAACATTTTCTGCATGGTGTTGTAAAGTCTTGATTACTCCGAGTTTGTGTTCCATGGGGT